ACACCAACCATGTTTCATATTTCATATGACGTGTGTAAATTACTCTCAAAAAAGTTCCGAATTTCTCAGCACTTTTAACACTTTCTGCATACCGATCCCGTAAGCATGTTGTCTTCCTTAATAGCTTTTATATCCTGTTGTCTGACCAACTGGACTTGTGAGGGTCTTTATGGTGTAAAATACTACTAAATTCATTTTTAGCTCTTTAAATTAAAGTCAATATTTATCAACGTGGGTGCTAAGATTATTGCATTGCAAATATTGCGTTGGGTGGGCTTTAATTCATAAGTAATCTTCTAAATCTAAACGCCACTTCTTAAGGGTGGAGGGTTCGAGAAAATACATCCTTGTTCTGATGCTTGAAGATCATGTCCAGTACTGATAGTTCATGTTCAGGCTATAGCGCTTTGGCATCAACCTATTTCATAAAGTATTGATAACAGTAGCTTACAGGAAGCAGCAGTTCTGAGCTTTTAACAGATAACTGCCTTGAGGAGAGTTACAATCAGCAACTATTCCGTCACTATTTTTATTGCCCTGTTCACCTGCCTAATTTATTACGAATTCTTTAACTTGTCGATCAGAAACTATTCGACAAAAGATGATGTAACTACTCACATAAGTGAGGTAGTAAAGTTTCAACTGTTACACTTCCATTCCGAAAACTAGGAATTGGTGCAGACCGGTCCTGTAACCTCATCTTACATGTTATGGCAGGAAATTGCATCACAGACCAACCCCGACTTTCCTCAGGGTCTTTCGAAGGCAGTGTTTTGTCACGGATCTTACCTAAAGGAGCTATATCACCTATATATTCAAGGTGAAGTTTATATGGAAATGTATTTGTTTCACTGGTGACTGGTTAAATCCTAAAATGATGAGGTCGATCAGTTGTATATATTTGTATATCTACAAAACATTTAAATAGGAACGGTGACATTAGGCATCTGTGATAGACACCTCCGTTTATCGTAACTTTAGACAGGGATTCTCCGTAAGATCTTAAAATGAAGTATGTGTTTGAGTTGGGTACCACAATTAGCTTAATGTATCTTACCGGCACTGTCTTCATAGTCAAATATTTCCTCAACACTAGTCGTAAAAGTCGTGTGATATGTTTAGTTAAAACAATATGGCGTGCTGGACACCGACATGTATGCTTGTACTCCAGAACCTGTTGAGGAGTTAAGGTATGATCAATGCATCCTCAGCCATGCCCAAAACCTATTCAGTTCTTCCAATTTTGCTTTACTTGAGCAGCATTCGGTTTTTACAGGATAATTTATGTCCTTTCTTATGAACTCGGATGGCCAACGATCTGCACATAAGTCCAATAGAACTGTCGTGGATTTCAAAACGCCAGCTAGTATTTCAGTTATTCCGTGTAAAAGTCTCACTGCAATTTTTAAACACCTCTGAAGTTGAACCACTGTTCCCTGACGCTTTGCCTCAAGTTACATGGGGTGCAGCTTTTGCGACCTAGGCTATAATTGTAGGACCAGTATCGACATTCCATTTACACTTCCACAGGATGACAGACAACCAGTACAGCTTTACGCCAGTTGAACCGATTCATAAATTGTTCTACTCAGTGTTCGAATAGTTTCTTCTGAGCAGTCATCATAATTCCACCTTTCTCGGAGGTTGTTTCACTTATCATAGCTTTTTTGAATATTGTTTTCCTTAATAAACACGATAACTTGACGATGTTGCTTACTACTGATGTGTTTTCCATTTTCCCCTCGTTTTGGCCACAAATCATTGTCTGTTGTCAATGCAAGAACTTTTAATTAGCCTGCTTTTGAGAAGCTTTTGCTCTTCACTATTTTCGGAGCCTGCTGTTCGGTATTTACCTCTATTTCTATGACCGACTTTATGTGACGCCAAGCTTTTACAGGATGAGTATTGGTGTCACACTATGATAAATGTTTAGTTATTTCCTGCTTAAATACATACTTTATATTGCCATAAGAAAGCTGGGCACGTAAAGACTTCGCAACTGCTTGTTTCCTATGTGCGTTCAGTTGTAGACGTACATTTGTATGACTAATCCATTATCTGAATCCACTCGTGTTCCTTAAGGGGGATATATTTACTACTAATCCTACCCATCGCTAAATTATATATATTTGTGTCCATCTTGAGGTTGTTGTTTGGAGGATTACCGGGTGCGACGTCTCCACAGACCTAAAATAAGTGCTTGTTAGAGACAGATGATTATATGAATGGAATTTCCCTAAACAGTTGCTGTTTTCGGTTTGGGAGTCCACACAGGTCTAGAAGTGCTTTTCGGATTTGTTCAGCTTTCCTAACTAATCACTGGAATCGCCTACTAAGATGGCTACATTTGGGTGTTTTGCATTTAGCTGCAAAATACATAGCTTTTGATAAACGTCGTCTTTTACTTCATTCAAGTAGCAAATAGTTGGTGTGCAAGCGGCGATTACGGAAAAGAGCCAAAGAATACCACTATCATTATTTTTAGGGGTTCAGTCAACCAGACGGCACATGGATGTCTGTCCACCGGAATGTAGTCGAGTGGTGGATTTCTTGCGTTTGATCTTATTAATACCACTACACCAGCGATTCCGCATGGAGTGTTCATAGGATGTTCTAATACCTGTTGGGTGAATAGATTTATATCTTTTATGTGCATTTATAATGGGAGTTACCAATCTTTTAGGCTAGTAAGGCGGTTTTCCCTACTTAGCACAGAGTTTAGATGTTGATACCCCTCATATAAAAGTAGCATCATGGTTTTATTGCCTCATTTCACTATCAGCAATTCCGATTAAGAGATGTAAGAACTACATGTTAAATAGTATTAACCGTGGTATATGGTAAAGTTTGAGGGAAGTGGGTGAATGAAAAGGAGGAGGGTAAGTGATAAAGAGAGGAGCTTTGTGTGCTAATGGGCGTTTGGTTAGTTGCTTAAATTAGATGAAATAAGAGAAGGCTTAGTAATTCGTGACCACAAGGCCTAGGAAAATTGTTCGACATCAAGACGAAGTTTGAGGACTTTTTGCATATGGAAAGACTGTTAATTAAAGACCAGATCAAATCCCTTACCAGAGCAGGAAGACAACATAGTTGGCTTGTTGGTCACCAAGTCTATCCACCAGCGGTAAAACTTCTCCCCCAAACCCCCTTCATGATATTAAGAATTTGCACTTTGACTGCAATTGCATTCAGTGCAGCTGCTATTCGTCTGATGTTTCTTGTGGCGCACCTCTTGATTTCTATAAAATAATAATCCCACTTTCTGACATGGTAAAACATAGTGACATTCGTTCCAGTCAACATAGCTCGTTGGGTCATTGGGATGCACGAACTCTTCCACCATATCATGGCAACTGCTATCCGTCAGGTAAAAGATACAGTCCTACTAAGTGAGAATTGAAAGGCTTTGAGAAGAGGACTGACGGGTTTTGTGATTAAGCTGTCACGTAAATCAACATTATTATTGTTTAGAACAGATGTTTGTATCATCCTCCTGGTTCATTTGACTTGGAATTCAACCTGTAAATTCTGTGTTTGGACTCACTTTGCTTTTCAATCTTCGAGCTGTTAGGTGGTATTACGACTGTCTAATAGTGCAAAGCGAAAGGTTTGTATCACTGAAAGAAATTCAGACTCCAAAGTAGTAGTAACTGAACTAAGTATGATAAGCAGAATATAACTAAATACTTTACCTTCTAAAATTCAAACTGTCTGAACTTAAGAAGCTTTTATGGGGTGTCCAAATCCAATTTTTAGTCATGTAACTAGTTATCACTTTTTTCAAATCGCAACAGTTAAGGGGGGACGAATATCTTCATAGCCTCCAAAGCCTCAGGATGGTCGGTGGTGGGTGTCTTGCGCTGCGGGTTAGCCACCCCTCCGTACACCTCTTGAAATGCTCCCATATGACCGTGCCTCTTACATAGCCTCTCCTGAGGAAGTCCTACTCACTGCCTTCACGTGACGGAGGTGTTTATTTCACCGAAGTGAGGGGGCAAAAGCGGATGCCCGGCGCTCTTCACCGGGTTGACTGTCCATTGGATGACAGTCTAGGGGAGATGGCTAAACCCTGATTCCAAACCTCCAACGACTGGCGTATGAAGCTCACCGGTAGACGTATGGACAAAGGGCTTATTGGATGCCCTGGATGTCTGGCCCCATTCAAAAAGGCGTATGAACCGGACTCCGGTCACCGGCTTCCAATGGATAGTGGACTCCGTACTCCACTCCTACTGCCTTGTAGGTCACACTTGGTTGTGTAAAGGCTAGAGCTGCACTCTCAAACAAAAGGCCGAGCGATCCTGGGGACATCACTCTCACCCAATTCCCATGAAACTTCATCAACTCTCTTACAAACATTCGAGATGTTCATGAAGCCGGTTCATCCTCCCGTAGGAGATAGCCGAAGTTAAGTAAAGTAAGTAAGTAATATCTTCATACCAAGGAATACGGTGCACCATACTTAGTGTGTTACCGGACTGTTTTCAGATCTTATCCACCATACTTCCCTGTTATTTTTAGGACATTCAAGTAATCTTGTCAAAACTCAGTTACCCCGAACAGTTTTTTCATATACTGGTCTACGGTTTACACTTACTGTATACGGGCTTGGAGTCCACATAGCGGGATTCTAACCTAAGGCTCAGTGACTGAAAGTCAAGTGTCAGAGCCCACACGACGCGGCACTGACTGACTGGAATTTCCTACAAAATACGCGAAGTTCGAGTAAAGTTTGAGGTCTCCCAATGCTAAAATGTTTATGAAGTGCTTCATAACGCGTCATTTGAATTTAGCACTTTATTCCTAGCATGTCTTTTAATCCCACCTGTTCGTTATTGAGAAATATCAACATTTTTGTAAGTGGATTTTGTTTTGCCTAGCATATTATTCGTCTATTTCTCTATTTCTATTTTTAGATTCGAAACATTCAAGTTGACACCCTTACTTCCAACCTTTCAAATAGTTTTTTGGTGCAAAGAAAGGCGTACTTTCTATAGAACATGCAGAACTTTTCACATACAATATGGATGGGTGATGTAGGTTTTATTTAGTTTTACTCTAACTACTGTCCACTTTATAGTTAGAACCCTACATGGATGAAATGTTTATTAAAAGAGCTTTTGAAACATCTGGTGAAATTATAGTCAGTGTAAAAGTTATCAGAAATAAAGCAACTGGTCAAACCCTTGGTTATGGTTTCATTGAGTTTCTTGATTCTACAGCGGCAAGAGATGCAATGCTTAAATTGAATGGTAAACTTATTCCTGGGGCACCGGTAAGTGTTTTTTTATTTTTTAAAAATCCAAATTAACCCGGCGTTCTAATGTTTTCCATTGAATCTCATCAGCTTTAAGAACACAATATTCAGCGAAGAGACTCTTTTCAACGAATTTTTTATCAAGCTGTACAATCGTATATTTATGGTTTTTAAGAAATTTTATCCGGCGAGGGAGTTAGGTCAAAGGTGTGAATACATGAAATAATAATAGTAGCATGAAATGCAATTAAAATATTTGTGATTGTAATCATGGTTTAATGTCAAGTGGCAAAATAATTAATGTCATATATAGAATAATATATAAGGCATATAGATTTTGGAAAAGTATACATAATTATAAGATTAGTAGACGAATATAAAATGTTACATCACATGGTGTGAAATTTGATAGGATAGAAATCAGTATTGTAAAAATGAAAAATATAAAAATTAATAATTTTGAGTTTAAAATGACAGGTGAGTCAAGTGGAAAAGATTCAGAGTGAGAATAATAGTAATAATGATAATAATAGTAAAATAATCGTAGTAATAAGGGAAAGGTACATAGAATAACTAAATAAACAAAATAAATAAATGTCTGTCCCTCTACGGCCAAGGCAGAAGTAGGGATTGTACATACTTCTTTTGTACACAAAGGTCTGGCTTAAAGTCATGAGTTGCCAAGGCCTCAGCTGTCTTTAGAAGTCTGTAACGAAGACAACGCGGGAAGTTAGCATGGATTCTATGTATGATCTTGAAATCATGGTCGGGGTTGACCGAGTGACACAAGTCGATCAGGTGTTCCAGAGTAGAGCTTCACACACACTTCCTTTCTCCCTTGTAAAACCAAGCTGGAATATGTTCTCGTATCCGTGTGGGAAGCGGCGTCCTCTGACTACGGCCATTGTACCTTGCTCGACAAGAGCAGGTGAACTGATAGATACACATGGAGGCGGGCAGACGGGGGAGTTTATCTTTTGCAGAGGTAGAGAACATTTTGCGGCTCGTGAACGTCGTATGTAATTTTGCTGCAAAGAACGTCTTACTGACTGATTCAGAGAGATGATTTTTGAGCATATCTGAAGCTTGATCATCTTTGAATTCCAAGTTCATGAATAAGGTTTTCTTTGGAACTGAGTCGGTGACCAGTTTAGACTGCTTATCTTTCATGTTGCTGTCAATAAATCGGTTAGGGTAACCATTTTCTGCGAGCGTGGCTTTTAAGAAGTCAAGTTCTGAGTCAATGCAATCAGAACTACAAATTTTCCTCATCCTAAAGCAGAGTGAATGAATAAGGTTCCTTTTCCTGGAAATAGGCACCCAACTGTAAAAATTAGTTAGTTGTCCGTTCCATACGTTTCCGGTGGATAGATCTTTTGAGAGATGAGTCATTACGTCTGCTAAGGCATACATCAAGAAACGGAATACTTAGTTCGGATTTCTTTTCTATGGTGAATTGTAAAGAAGGATGGCAGTTGTTGAAAGCAAACAAACATTTATACATTTATTTGCATTCTGTACTTTTTTAAAAGTATGCTTCTGTTATGGCTTTTCAGACATTTCGTATCAAGTTAGCGAGATAAATAGGACTAATGTTAACAGCTTCAGATTCTTCAAAGCTGTGATCCAGAAGGAGGTTTTTATAACTAAGCAGTAGGTGTATGATTCGATAACTGAAGTACTGAAGTTTTAAATCCCAATCCATATATTTCTCTTCGGATATAGCCGTGTAGTACTGTATACGGTTCAATACAGTGATTCTTGATCAATGGTTTACTACTACTTACATTGACATCTGATTCATATCTTTTATTTGTTACACTAATTACTGAATAGTTTACACCAAATTTTGTTCGTACATGACATTGATAATCTTACTCTTGTTGGTCATCATCAATTGTTGCTTATTTATTTATGGAGTGATTTTATATCCCAGTCTCATAAACTGCACAAGTTGAAGGCATCTTGCAAGTCAGTTTTTTTTCTTTTTTGTGATATTAGTACGATTTGTGGCTGTCATATATATATATATATATAAACTAGGTTTTGATTGGCCAAGGAAGGGATAATGCCTCCACGAACTTCTGCTAAATGTATAGTATAGGCCTAATAGTTCGAATACCAATCACCTAAGCTGTATGCAGTAAACTAGTGCGGAGTCCATTAGACAGATTCGGTGATTAGCTATGCATTACTTTATATGCCTTCGTTATTTCCACCAAACGAACACTATCAATTGAATTTGATGAAACGGAGCTTCGGGTGTTCTTCATCTATCCTTTACCAAAACACGGGCGAAAGTGTTCAGTAACACGTTGCCGAAGCTGTCTAGGAGTATGCCCAGCATAACTGTCTCCACAAGAGTAGTTGAATTAGTAAATTCACATAAGTTTGGCAAAGCTATCTAGCTTATCCTTCGTTTGAACACCAATTATTCGCCGACTTTGAAAATGACAAACATATAGGTTTACTACTGACTAATATAGTTTTGGTGTCGGTGGCATAGCTGTTAGGACGCTCGCCGACCATGCACATGGTCCGGAGTTCGATCCCCGGCTACGGACGCACTCCTTTACCTCGCTAAGCCAGAAATAATGCTGGTAAAGAGGGAAGGTTGGGCATGGGGCTAGCAACTCCATCCTGTAAAAATTAAACACTGCTATATAAACTTCAAACCACTAGCTTGAAGCCCTATGTTACTCTGGGGAACGTAAGGAAAAAAATGTAGTTTTACATCTTGTTAGTTCATCGTCTGATGATGAAATTGAGTTGAATTTTCATGTTGACATCAGTGTCTATTTGGCTAATTTTACTATCATTTTATTCGTTTTATTTTTGCTCCTTTGCGTTCCCAGTGGAACATGGGACTTCAAGCTTTAGCTTTGAAGTTTCAGTAGCAGTGGTGTTTTTTATGGGGTGGGGTTTCTAGCCCTACGTTCAACCTCCCCTCTTTGTCGGGACTATAACCGGCCAAGGGAGTTAAAGGTATGCTCTGGCCGGGACTCGTACCGCGGACCACGTGCATGATTGGCTAGCACACTACCGCTGAACCACCGACGCACAATTTCACTAAAGGTGTTATCTCTAGGTCTTAAATCTAGTGACTATACTAGTAAAATTATAGTCACTAAATTTTAGACCTAGATATAATAAAACCTTCAGTTGAAACTTATTAAGCACAATACTTGGAAAAGTTGTAAATATAACGGTTAGAATCTGATAGAAATTTCTTTTCAAGCTCTGGGCTTTCAAGAGATCTGACGAGACTAGTTCTTTTTTTCTTCTTTTTGTTTTGCGTTACATTATTAACATATTGCAAAAAACACCAATTTTAATTCCTGTGGTAAATCATCAATGAAGAATTGTCTTTGTGATACATTCCTTCCAAGATCATATATATATGTGGCTTTTTACAAAGACGGCGTCGGTGGCACAGCGGTAAGGACTCTCGCCGACCATGCACATTGTCTGGGGATCAATTCCCTACCTACGCACACCTGATATCGATGATCGGCCTGCAAAACTGGGCTACCGATATCACATGCTAGAAATTCAACACTTGTACCGAAAATACAGTGTGGAGTCAAGCTATAATCAAAAACAAATTGAGCTAGTAACTGTCTCGCATTGTCCTTTTGCTAACCATGCTGAATAATGCTCTGATTATCTGCAAGATAAGGCCAAATGGTACATAGGGCGTCAGGTCTCAGCATATATATATAAGTTCTAAGGGAGGTCAGTCGCCGGCTTGAATAGCTCTATGGTAACGTCTCTGACTCCAGCACTGGTTTACATGGGTTCGAATCTCATGAGAGAGAGAGAGAGAGAGATGAATTCCTTAAAGGCTGCAGATACGCCTTGTTGACGAGTGACAACAAGTAGGAAACCTAAGTCCAAGGCTTCATGACAATTCAGAGTGCATCGTGATGGCGAATGCTGGTCACACTGTAAATTTGACTGTTAGAATTCAGTCTGCACCGAACAGAGGACTAGACATGTGACACTAGTTAGTAGTAAGTATTGTCCAATATGTAATTCAAATAACTGAACTTGCTGTAACAATTTGCCTATTATTTCTACCCTTTTAAAGTACTGAGAATATTCTCCTCTAACTTGAATTAACTTATTCTATTTAGTAACATTATTAAATCCTAATATTTTGGATGAATAATCTTTTCTTTTCAGACGAAAAGATTCAAGTTGAATCATGCAAGTTATGGAAAAGACAGTACAGCTAGGTATGTTTTATTTATAATTTTTTGTGAGTTTAACTTCTATTTTTATTTTTAATAGCAATGAATGCTCATTATTCGTTGGCGAGTTAACAGAAGATGTCGATGATCTTGCTTTATTCAATGCTTTTAAAAATATCCTACTTGTCGATCAGCTAAAGGTAATCCCAGTGTAGAATTCATTGTTGTTGTTTTTTCCTTCACATTTCCAGTGGAACATAGGGCTTCAGGCTAGTGGTTTGAAGTTTATATAGCAGTGTTTAATTTTTACAGGATGGGGTTGCTAGCCCCATGCCCAACCTTCCCTCTTTACCAGCATTATTTCTGGTTTGGCGAGGTAAAGGAGTGAGTCGGTGACTGGGGATCGAACTCCGGGCCATGTGCATGGTCGGCGAGCATCCTAACCGCTATGCCACCGACGCTAATTCATTGTAGTTATATGTTTATTCATGTCTTTTTCTTTCTTTCTTGCCTTCCTTCAAATTAAACAGTTGTTATGACAAATGGAAAATCTCGTGGATATGGATTTGTACGATTCTTAACAGAAGCTGATATGGATAAAGCACTTATTGAAATGCAAAATTATTGTGGTCTAGGCTATAAACCTATTCGAGTGAGTTTGGCTATACCGAAGCGGTATAATGCTGATGGAAGTTTAGTTGTTACTACATCAGCATCTGAACCACTTTCAGTTGTTCCTAGTGGTAAGTATATATATACATATAAATCTTCATTTTATAATTTTATTGTACAGCTTGATCCAATCTGGTTTCCATTGATTTTCATGTGGGTAGTTTAAAAGGATTCGATTGGTTACAGGTTTGATAACGAGTTTACATCATTTAGAGAGAACTACTTGAAAATCGAGGAGTACTGGGCACCTGTTTCGTCCTAGTTCAGGACTCTTCGTCAGTACGGACTATTGGGTTTGGAGCCCCCAGGACCTTCCGGTTATTAGACGACCTCATGGACCACTGAGCCACTGGTACCCTGCCCAGTAGTTCATTAATTCTAACTTCTTCCAGTTCATGATATATTTACCACAACCTCCTGTCAATGTCATTGACAAGTAGATGTTCTCGTATCTGACTTGGTGGTGAACTCCATTGGTCATGACTTCTGAATAGAGAACTTTAGGTAACTTTATATAGCCAGTTGCTAGTATGTTGAGTATCATTAATTTTCAAGTGTTGATATTTGCAAGGAGTTGATTGGTTACTAGTTTCGTCACTGGCTGACTTCAGTTTCCATCACAGCTCTTTTCTCCACTTTTGTTTGTAAGTTTCCATAGCATGACAACTTGAACTAACTCATTTTTGTGTGAACTTCTGTATTGTTAAATCAGTCAGTCAGTCAGTCAGTCAGTCAGTCAGTCAGTCAGTCAGTCAGTCAGTCAGTCAGTCAGTCAGTCAGTCAGTCAATTAGTGACTCGAATGAGAAATTAGCGGTTTAAGCTTATCTTTCGAATCTCATCAGCTGTGGCTCTTCATTTAATGAAAAAATTGAATAGACAGAGATTTCAGTGCACAAGTAATACAAGTAGTTAGTTAGTTAACTTAAACAAAAAAAGCTTTTAGGTATGAGCTTCACAGTCCTATCTCAAAGAACCCATTATAATGTGGGTTTTTATTACAATTGTGTTTAAATAACTATGAGATCCTAGATACTTAATTTTAGATATATGGACAATGGACTAAAATGAACCATACTGCCAAATATTGACTTCTGATGGATTGAGTAGGCAACTGCTGTTACCTTTAAAGCCTGTGCTTGACTTATGACCATACCTTGATCGATGGATGTAAAAGGAGGACAACTGGGAAAACTATATGAAGTTAGATTAATACTAAAGATATATCAAGGATTGACTGGACAATTGAAAGGTTAACTCAGGCTTACTCGTTGTGAAGAAGTCTGCTTCTGTTCCTTAGAAAATGGTTGGAAAGAGCAAACAAATCTCGAAGCAAATTATTTCGAACTAATTGATCCAGGAAAATCCATTCCCTGAACATCTTAAGCACAAACAAATAAATGGTTTACATAGTGAATATGAACAGCGAAGGAGAGTGATAACTGGTAACTATTCAGAGTTAGCGAGAAAAAAGTCCGTATTTCACTTACAAAGAAGTTTATTTGAAAGGTTGATAAAAGCTCTGAGGAACAGTTCCACTGACCTTGAGCTACTCTTTAATCGCTGTCTATTCAGCTGATGAATAAGTGGTTGTGAGATGGGACCCTCATTATCTGCAGAGGTTGGGAAAACTGTAGGGAAACTAAGAAAATCAAGCATAATAAAGCCAAAATGGTCTTCCGTATTCAGAGTGATCCAGTATTATTGTTTGAATTGATCAAGATTTTAGTCGATGTTTACTAGTTGGAAATAATTCCATTTGACCCGTATCACTCTTGGAAAAAGAATAATAGCTTCCCTACTAGGACCTCGGAGGAGTTGGCCTTGCATGCATAGTCCCAACAGTACTAGTGTCAGTTCATATTACACCTAATCTCAGACAGATGGCAAAAAATCTTTGCCAGCCAGGCTGAAGGTGTATCGGTCGATTGGGCACTTTCCGTCAGATCCTTTAGGACAGACTCTCAACACTAAGCGTAATTGTTGGTCTGTAGACGAAATTTTACTCCATCGGTTGAGAGGTGCTAGCTACATTAGTAAGTGATCCTCGACTGAATTACTACTTTTGCATTGGCCTCCTGTTTGATGAGCAGATAGCAATTACTGCAACTTAGCCTACTGTAAAGTAATGGTAGATTCTTTCTTGGTACTGTCTACCTACGTCTGTATTTTCCTGTAAATTCATTTATTTTGCATATTGTGCAGTTTTTTGTTTTTTTCTTCTCGTATTTTTCAGGTATGCCTGACCCGTTCACTGCTGCAGTTGCCGCTGCTGTGACTGGGAATTCAGCCGCTCAAGCGGAATACTACCAAGCCTATCAACAATACTACCAACAGTATTACGCATCTCAGTATGCAGCCCAGTTTTACTCTAGTGAATCTTCCACTACAGGTGACCTCACAAATTCCGGGATAACATCTATGGCAGGTGGTGGCACACTTATAGGCGATGCTACGGTACAACAACATGCATTTGTCGATGCTGCTGCCTCACACCTGTATGCTAGAGCGCTTCAGCAAAGCGCTGGCTCTCAAGAATATGCTCCAGGTAATGTGATAGACTATCAAGTAGAGAGTAGCGCTTTCATGAGTATTATTTTTCTTATTGTAGTTGATTTTCTTTCTCACTGAGATATTATTATCCTCTTGGTTTCTGAGTAGAACATAATGCTTCAACAGCACATCTCGATTTCATCCTTTTCTTTGCAGTCCTCTTTTTGGTTGGCTCCACCGTTGCCTGTAAGCTCTCATCTCCTCCTCACACGATCTCCTTCATGTCAGGCTTGAATGCCCAACTCGTTTCACTTTTGGATTGCACTAGAGAGCCTGGTGAACAATGTCACTCGATGGCGGTCTCCTCAGCGTGTGTGTGTGTGTGTACGGTACATTTCCATTTATTTTGGCAAACTGGTTGGGTGGTAGGTTGTTGGTTGGTTTCTCGTTGCTTATTTTCGCTCCAGTGTAGAGCGTGGGTAGTCGTTGATGGAAGTCGGCATTAAACTGTTGGAAATGCCTTCTGGGACGCAATAAATCTCTGAACCACATAGAAGTATTGACTGCTATAACACTTAAGTGTTGAAAATTCGAATCTTGTTCTTTATGCTAATCACAGTGGATTTTTACACTGATTTCAGAGTAAAGAAGGCCTGCACTGCTTTTTTATTGTCCTGCTTGGCTTTGATGTCTTCATCTGTGTCGCTTATATTTGAAATAATGTTTACTAGATAAGTGAAGGAAGTGACCTCTTTCAAAATTTCTTCCATTGAATGTGATCGGTGCTTGCTGATGTCACTGTCTTCTCTATATTCCCTTGAATTATTGTCTTCGTTTTTTCTTCTACCAACTTGTTGGTTTTACTCTGTAGGTCTTCGAGTTTGTGTGTAGCATTAGGGATAAATCATCCATAAAGTTGAGATCTTCTAGAGTCTTCTAATCAGTCCAGGGTATTCCTGTCTTCTCCAACCTCTGGCACATGATCCAGTCCACTAGAATCTGAAATATCATCGATGGTAGTAGACAACCTTGTCCTACTATTATTGTCTTCATTTTAAAGGCTTCTCTGAGTTTTCTATTGTGGACCATCTGACATGCGGCATTGTCATATGAACGAGGTGTTGAATGAGGTTGATAAGACTAGTGTAAATAGCAAGAAATTAGATTTCACCGCAAATGAATATTATTTGTTATATAAACTAGATTTACCTGGCTGTAACCAAACTGTATTGAGTCAAGAGTGTTAGACAGTCAAGTCACACATTAAGTACGTTAGCAATAATTTACTAAGATTAGATCTTAAACGTAGCGTGTATGTTTCAGCATTGGTCAATCTGCTTGTTATGGAGCGGTCGTTCAGTTGCGTGGCTAAAATTATTTTCGACCAACAGGTTATTACTTCATCAACATAATCTTAGAGATATGTATCAGGCATAACATGGGTGGGACCTTATATTATAAAGCTAGCTTTCTGTTCAATTCACACTAGCTCACCAAAAAAGACGTGTAGAATACCTAGAAGCTTTTTTCTTCATATATATATATATATCTTCACGGTGACCAGATTAGGCGTTCGACTTTCCGTAGTAAGTGGTAGAACGCCTTTTTTACCTCATCCGAGATACAATCAGTCATTGTATATGGAGAAACTATGATGAGTTGCTTTAGTGTTTCAAGATCCTTCCCGGTCGCAGCAGCACCGTTGAACAGAACAAGGTATTAAACTTTAGACTGCTTTCCCGTGGAATGATGAACTTTCTGTTTGTAGAGTTAATGGTATACCTGTCATAACTGTCAGTTGTATATCCATCAGTTCTCGAAGTAGGAATTTTGCAAATGGTCAAATGAAGTTAAGCAACTGATGACATTTAGGTTCTGTATACGTTTCATACAAACCCAGAATTTCCGTTACTTCATTTTTAACATAGTATCCGAATGTAGTTTGTCATATTCAATATATATATATATATATATATATATATATATATATATATATATATATATATATATATATATATATATATATATATATATATATATATATATATATATATATAAGACGCCGAAAACATTAAGCATATTGACTCCCATGACTACTCATTGTACTTAGAAAAGAGTTTGACCAGATTACGAACGTTTGTGACGTTGTGAACCACATTAAAGGAAATTAAGAAGCCGCGTGTTCTGAATACATTGATAGGATTATATGATCAATAAATTGTGCTCGAAATGCTTTCTGCTTACTAATACTGTACCCCTGTGTTTATCTGTTTGTTTGTTTCTTTAAATGTCAAATAAACTGATCTGATTTGAAAATTATATTCTGATGGAAGATGCACAGGTCCTTCCACACTTACAACACTACTTTTAAAAGCTTAGTAATCTCCTGTTATCCTCAGAAAGATATTTGGATGAATGCAGTTTAATAATAGTGAGAAATTCGAAAATAAAATATTGCCTAGATAATAAGAGAATATTTTACAGAGCAGTGGAAGGAATAAAGCCGCACACCCCCTTTTTCACAGTATATTCATCAAAGTACCCGATTAGGTAATTAAGTTAACACTGCAATGTCTCAATCATATGAAATGTGCACTATCATGCAAGTATATTTGTGCAGTTAACTGTGGTTATTTGAACACTGGGGCTGGATTGGACTTTATATCATTATTATTATTGTTATTAGCAGACCAACCAATCTTACTTATTGACAGTGAAGCGAAGTAATAAATGTTCAAGGAAAACTATACTATTCACACAATAAACACCCACAGAACTGATAGTAGAGTTTCAGATAACTAGTAAATAGAACAGTCATGCATGCATACTTTCTTTTATTCAGTGTGATTAAGTTGTCATTTAAGTATGTGAATATGATCTAAATAACTTCACTGTTAAATAGTTTATTGTGAACTGAGACTTCTACCTTGTTTGATTTAGCTATACCGACTCAATAGATGTGTGAATGACTATTCGGAGAGTTCGAAACGATCGGTTATGAGTTGAAATATCAGTGAGAGGAGAGTCTCTAACTGAGATATACGAAGATTTAGGGGACAAGTGTAACAGCACTCGCACTACCTGTCAGACTGGCTAGTAAGGCTGCCCGGATAGCACAACAAATGAGAAGATATCGCACGAGAGACTTCCGGCTTCTGTAGAACCGAATGGAGTGGATGCGAACGGACTACCCAAATCGTTAACTGAAGTCAATAATCTACTATACTCGTTTACACGACAAGCACGAGCACACTGAGGAAGGTGTGCCTTTCTCCATGTCACCAAAATCATCGAGAGCTCTCATGCAATGGAAACCGATCTCCTCCAGGGTGATGACAGTAATATCCACCTCAGGAGGGAGGAAATTTACAACTGTACAGTGATAGTCACCTACTAACAGCGCAAACGAAGAGCCACACGAGGACTTCTACAAACATCTGTAAACAGTGATGGACAAGACCCCAGTGGGACGCCGACATCGAAATTCTAATGGGTGTTGTGAATTTCACTCAAACTGAGATAATGAAATATCGGAAGATAACTCATCATGCACCACGAGGATCTCAGTGAAGTGAATGAGGACGGAGAACTATTTGCACACTTCTGTATCTTTAGTGATTTGGTGACTGCAAGAAAAGAGTATGCAAGCACAGGAATATACACAAGGCAATGTGAATTTGACCAGATGGGCACCCCGGAAATCAGACAGGCTTCATCTCAAAGTGAAGTAAGTGGAGACCTATTTGATAGGTGGAGCAAATACAATACTCCAAACCATCATTGAACAGAGCATAGAGTAACAGTCAACTTCTGAGAAAACTTCCGTAGGATTGGCAGTTAGGTCACGTTTTGCTGAAGCTTTCTTTATGTTCTACTAGGAATTCAAGGGATAAGTACTAATGTTGGTCCTTAACGAACTACTTCTAAAAAAGTAAGTGTGTTAGAATATCGAAACGAGTAGGCTGATAACTTTAGTTATCACGCATGGAATCGTCAATTACTCAGCCTTTAATGATACTGGTTTTCACAAATCCTTTTCGTGGAATATTTGCTATTTTTTATATTTTGGTACTGACCAAGGTGCACTAACGGTAACTAGTTTCTGAGCTGTTTTATCATTATTTATGTCGACATTTAAGGTTCTAATTAGGGAGGAGGGAGCATTCTACTCCATGACATTATTGGTGAAGTTTAAGTGATTATCAAACTTAACACTCAAAGTATTTTAAATTTAGACTCAGGTAATGGTTCACATCTGTTGCATTGAAACACGCCTTGTTTTATTTTCATCTTCATAACGAATATACGGCTTCAAGCTTTTTTGAAGTTCAATCAGGAGTGGCATTGCGTTTTTACAGGGTAGGACCACTGGCCTCACGCCCAACCTTTTCTCGTTTGCAGCCTTACTAACGGCTAGTCTAGGTTTGGCTAGGAATCGAACCCAGACCTTCGTCATTGCTGGTGAGTATTCTTCCACTAAACTAACCACCGTGCCACATTATAACACTTCTAGTGTATTCTATGCCATATCTGCTTTCATTCTGTTTTTTAATAATATCTTATTTCTCTTTCTATTCACCAGATCCTTATGTCTTGTCTTCCGCTTGTGATCGTCCTCGACATGTAGATGATTTAGACGAAGTGTTCAACTTCTTAGAATCATCACGATGGCATATAAGTGATCCATCATTAGGATTATTTGTTAAAATAAAACCATAATAAACTTCAATTGAATCATATTTTTTGTGGACTGCTGTTTTGTTTTTCCTGTTTTTTTTTTCATACGCATGATAAAGTACATTTTTGTTATTGGAGAAACAATGCTGTAAATATATACATATCCATTCTATTGAGGGGCTTTTTTGTATGTAATTTTATACAGCCTCTTTGATAAATTTGGTATACAGGTATTAAATAATAAAGTGCAAAAAGTTGACTTTTAGCTTTATGTTAAATTTCTTCGGCGTTATTCTACTTCACATATTTGTACTTACTTTGGTTTGTGCAACATCAATGTATACATCTCATCCGTGAAATTCTGACTTTCTAGAGTCTTTTAGTCAGTGCAGCTTAGGTCCATCCTTTCACGCCCAACGTTGATTGTCGAAGGATTCAGTCTGCTGTTAGCAGGAAAATCACCGATAGTAGTAAATGATTTCGTCTTACTACTGTCTTCATTTCAGAAGTTTTAGTGAACTTTCCCTTGTGAATTACATGGTATGTGGCATCATCGCATAGCTGTTGAACGACTCTTATCATCACTGCTTGTGATACTAAACTCTATGCTGTTAAAGTAGTTTCCAAATAACCTCACGGTTCATTATTTATTTCAACACAAAACGTTTGGTAAAGCATAGTACCAAGAAGACGCGCCACACAATAATAATAAAAATTTGAATCAAAGTAAAAATGTAGGTAGACAACGGATAAAGTACTTTATTGAGAAGGAAAACAGTCATATTTAACAAGTTCAAACAGCATTAGTCAATTATCATCGGAAAGGGGAGAAAGAAGGAAATTACAGCATATCCGCCATCAACTGCGATTCTTGGCCATATCCGACAACGTTTCGAGCCACCGATTCGAGCTATCTCTCGGACTCCAACCAGGGAGTTGTGACGCACCAAGTAATGCTAACCCAACACAAACATCCTTCATCCCACGACGCCACGTCATGGGCTGACGTCTTCTCCACTCTTTCCAACCTGTTGCAGGGCTAGGGAACAGAGACCTGTACGGAAGCCTCTGGGATGACATTTTCAGCACATGTCCAAGACACCGGATGACAACACTCAACGAATGATGATCTCCTCTTTGTCCAAATACATACCGCTGAACCTCAGAATTACTCATGCAATGATGTCATCGAATGTAAGCAATCCTGTGGAGACAGCAATTATCGAATACTCAGAGTTGTTGCACATCCTCAGCTCAGAGAGGCTTGACTTGACAGGCGTAGAGCAAGACAGCAGTCACCGAAGCACTGTAAACCTGACCTTTGACAACTAGGCTTACATCGCGATAGTGCCAGAGGTGGTTCAAATTGATGATACTTTCATGATACAGTTGGAAATCTCGTCTATTACATCTCTGCCAGCACTCACACAACCACCCAGATACACGAACGTGTTATGACCGGAACTGTTGTAACAACACAAGACAAGGACCAGGCAACAGATCGTTTTATTATGAAAATCAACACGTATTTATATATATTTCACATACATTATTATAGCTTATGCAAGTAGACAAGCGCAGTCATCTGATTGGTTGTTTATCAGAAGTTAGACAGACAAACGCAGGCTTCTGATTGGTTGTTTCGGGATTCCTCGACAAATAGAGTTCTCTATCTGCGAATCATATTTTGCCACGTTAATTTTGCTGTGATTGGTTGTTGAATCAGCCTTGTACATATTTTCTCACGGCCTGCTCTCACCACACTGACCTAGTAGACTATGAGCGAATACTAACTTAATGCGCTGGCTGATCTGTCCTAATCGCACGTCAATAACAACAATGACAATAACAGGGCCCGTATGCAAAGACAGAAGTGAAAACTGAGCGTTGGTAAGAGAGCTTTTACTGTCTCAAAACAACAATAAAAAAGGTTGACAGCTTGCGTATATATATATATATATATATATATATGTTGGTGTTGAGAAGTGCTATTATTATTGATAAATTAAGACAGTGAATAACCAATAGGATCCCAAACGTCATAAGTAGGGTTAGAGAAGTACAAACAGACATGTAAAAATGACTTATAGAAAAATAGGTTTATATATCAAACTTATCGACAACCTCAAGTGCTTCACCTGGAAGGGTGAGTGCGGATACAGGCTCCTGCACATACCCTACTTACAGACACTAATCGCCAACTGATTAAGAGGGATTTAGACAGCTTCCGTGCTATCGCACAATAAGACGACCTAATTAGCATATTCGAGGTAGAAAACTCCTTCTCCAGGAAGCAGTTCTACGCCGCCACCACGCACGTCCTTCAGAGATGACTCTAGAATTTCATCGATGCGAAAGTTAAAGAGAAGTGTAAAGATCCGGCAACCCTGTCTAACCCCACTGTTGGTTGGGGACAGTGGTGATGGCTAGTTGCGTGCCTTCACTCCACCTGAAGGATTACTGTATAGGGCTTTCAGGATGGTAACAAACCTCTGAGGTACACCTCTCTCTAACAGACAGTTCTACAGCACAGTTCTATCCAACAAGTCAGAGGCAGCCCTAATATCAGGAAACAACAATTGATGACCTGCGATACTTATGACGTCATTCCAACAACTAGCGAAGAGTGAACACATGATCAATGCATTCACAGACTCAACGAGACCCAGCCTGCTCTTCGCGGATCAATCCCCCACGTGTTTTGCACAGCCTGCGAAGCAAGACAGCAGCCGATAATTTAGACGCAACTGGTAGCAAACTAATACCCCTATGGTTGTCGCACATGTTACGTCAACCCTTTTTAAAGATGGGGATGATGATGGCTTTAATTCACATAGATGGAAGACCTACACTTTCCCATACCTTCCTACCCAGAGTTCCAGGCTGGTAATTGGTGTGCCATCGACCTCATAGACCGTCTCGGTAACACCTTGTTTCTTGCTGCTGATGGCTCGGATGAGCTAGAACAGCTCCCGACTGTTGCTGGATGAAGCAGCTGACTTCATCTCACATGGACGTTCTGAACACCAGGCTTCGCGGTCCTGAAGTAAACACTGTTTAATATTGCGCGTAATCGCCTTACGCATATAGCTGCATTCGCTTCCAGTCGTGATGGGCCGGCGTTCATCCAGGAGTTGTAAGGAACTCGCAGAAACCCAGTGGTTTTTAGTGGAGCATTCTTTTAAGCCTGAAGCGGCTACGCTTGCCATTTGCATGGCACTTTGCGGTTGAAGCCAATATTCATCTTTACAACTTCGGGGGTTGCTAGTAAGCATTGGTTGTAACTCATTCTGGAGCTTCAAAGAGGCAGCAGGTGCTACCAGTTTGCTCACATCAACATTTGGATGACGACGTTTATGAACCCCATCAAAACGCAAGACAAACCTGGCACACTAACGCATGATCGGATTCCAGGTATGTGCTCTAGAAGGAGCGGCAGTTCTGTATGCACCCTCGCCATCGGAAACTGACAGCAATAAGATCAATTACAATCCAAGCTTGATTCTCAGAAGGAGGGAACCAGGTAGTACTACGACGATGGCTGTGCCGGAATTTGGTGCTGGCTGGAAGGAAATAGGTTGTGATCTGCTCAAAGATACAGAAGACGGTGTCCATTATCTGACCTGCGACTATGTAAACCCCACTGTCCGCGTAGACGATTCTGCTCTGAGCTTAGACGCTCGACCTGTGCGTCCAAGTCCTCAGCCAGCACTACGATATCTCTCTGACGTGCATGTTCCAAGAGATCGCTCAGTTGGTAGTAGAACTCATCCTTAATTGCATCCGGCTACAATCCATCGGTGGCAGAGACAAAAAATAGACACCGCCTATCTGGCCTACCACTTCTTACTTTGGTATAACCTTGCAGCCTGACAGCACAAAAGTGACTGTTAATAGGGATCCAGTCGAGTAATACAGCTTCAGCTCTAACAATTAGTGAGACACCGACACCAGCTAGGCCGAATGTCAACGCCACAGGGTTCCCGGATAAACGCAGGTGGTACATACTGTTCATACTTTCAGATGGAGCAGATAGTCGGAGCACGTCACTGGGGTCCTGGATGTGGATCTTCGAAATGCAGCAGACATCGATAGCGGGGCTTTGCAATGTTGTTACCAAACCTACCTGTTGTCCGCTTTTCATCCGTGTCCGAAAGTTGTAGGTAGCCAGCCTGAATGCGACACGTGGTTTCAGGATACATGTGTTAGATGTTACACTGAAAATCACCATTTTGAAGGCTACTCACAAACGTTTCAAAACTATACACACAGGCTGAAAATTCGGATAAGAGCAAAGGGTTGATGGAAATGAAGACACCAAGGATAACAAAAGCTTATGAATAAAAATAGGGTTGAAATGAAATGCATCACTTGAAATATCATTAGTGCTCAAGAGCATGTAATTAGTTTCACTGATAGTTCGTTGTTTTATTTCACTGATTGTGTGTAGACTTAGATACTGCCTGGACGCCCAAACCGAAACAAGTGGTCGTCTTGAGGGATCACTCCCCAGGCCTTTGACTTGAAGTCTTATCCGCAGAGCACCGTCAGGAGCTACATTCCTATGGTTGCCGGTGACCAATGCAGGTTCATACACCATTTGATCCGACTGGATTCTGGAGCTCGTGTACCCCATAGTAAGTATTTTTAGTCTAACCACTATCTAAACAACCTTCCTTATGTGGTAGGACCTGCAGAAACATAAGTCCCAGTCAGTGTAGCTTGTCGGGTCACTTCGGCATTCAAACCCGACCATCGCGACAAGTTGGCAGTTGTTGACCGGGGCCAGATAGTTCACTCTCTTGATGACCTCTTAGAAGTTGGGTTAGAGAGTTGGCTGCGATTCTATGCTCTGTTCAATGATGGTTTGGAGTATTGCATTTGATCCACATATCCCATAGGTCTACACTTTCTTCACTTTGAGATGAAGCCTGTCTGATTTCCGGGGTGCCCATCTGGTCAAACTCATATTGCCTTGTGTAAATTTCTTGTGCTTGCATACTCTTTTCTTGCAGTCACCAAATCACTAGAGACACAGAAGT